AAAAACATTTTATTTAGGTTTATCTATGGCCTTCAAAAAGTTGACGACTCTACATGTTTCGACGTCGCAACTGAGGATGAAACATGTAGAGTCGTCAACTTTTTGAAGGCCATAGATAAGCCTAAATAAAAATGTTTTTAATTGTGTACCAGTTTAACGTTGAATATTATTTATGATTTTGTTTTCAGTGTTTCATGAATAAAAATAAAAATGTGTAGATTAAGCCAATGATATGTGATACTTGTTCTTCTGTTGTTAAATTACTGGTGAAAATTATTATTGTAGTTGTTTTTTATTGTATTTAAACAAAATGTTTTAATTAAAAAACTTGTATTGTAAATGTCAAGCCATATGATTATTTAAAACTAAGAATTACACAGAGTGGTACAGTTCTTATTGATATGTTGAGTAAGTCAACTAAGTCATGAATTTCATGTAGAATATTTATTAATATAGGTTACCAAGGGCAGAATTGTGAAGCTAACATTAATGAATGTGAGGAATTGATCCCTTGTGCTGGTGGTGGTACTTGTTTTGATCGTTATGGGAGTTACATCTGTGTCTGTCCACCATACTCCCACAGCATTGCAGGAAGTAATGGTCACTTTTGTGTTTGTGATGCTGGATATGCTGGAGCTCCACCTGTGTGTCAAAAAGTCAATTACTGTTTGAGTTTGCCATGTCAATATGGTGGAACATGCATTGTCCAAGAGGATAGTTATGTTTGTGAGTGCTTTGAAGGTTATGGAGGACCAACTTGCAGTGACATTGCCTGTCCAGTTGGTTACTCTGGTCCAGAATGCTCTATCAGTACCAACACGTGTGAGAATAATCCCTGTGGTAATGGAACCTGCTTGGAGGGACAGGGTAGTTTCACCTGTGTGTGTCCCTTAGGACTTACTGGAAGATTCTGCGAACAGGATATTGATGAATGTGCAAGTTTACCCTGCCATCAAGGCATTTGCCAAAATGTGCCTGGATCTTATAAATGTTACTGTGTTCCTGGTCATACAGGCAAGAACTGTCACATTGAAATTAACGAGTGCCTTTCAAATCCATGCCAGAATAATGGTACTTGTGAGAACCAGGTGAATGACTATAGGTGCAGGTGTATCACAGGTTTCAGTGGTCATAATTGTGAAATAAATGTGGATGAGTGTGCTTCAGATCCCTGTCAGAATGGAGGCTCCTGCTTAGATGAAATAGGTGCTTACAGTTGTGAATGTTTGCCAGGGTACTCTGGCAAAAATTGTGAGGTGAACATAGATGAATGTGCATCTTCTCCTTGCCATAACAATGGGACATGCAATGATCTGGTTAATGGGTAAGTACATATTATGGTGAGAATTTGGTTTATGTGTCTTAAGTTGAGAAAGTACTATCCTTTGAATGTAGTTTTAAGAAAAATTGTATTTTCACTTTAGGATATTAAATTATTTTTACTTTTTTTCATGTGAATAGTTTTGAGCATTGTAGATGAAATTCTTTAACACAAAAATGTATTATTTCTCTAAGTATTTCAGAACTATTAGTAGTATATTTTATGCCCTATAATTGTATAATTAAAAGTGGAATATCTTGAAAGCCTATAATAGCAGCGTGCAAATGTACATTTTGTTGCTTTCCCTCACATTTTACCCACATAAAATAAAACAAGTCTTATAATGTTACATAGCAAAAGGCAATCAGTTTCAGTTTACTTACCAGTTTAGTGTGAAGGATGAGCTTGAGATAAGATGAGATCCATTCGTGGCTGAATTGTTAACACAGTATCTCGGAGATTCTCTTCTAACGACAGACAAGATTGCTGTATTGTGATCATGTCAAAGCAGAAAATTCTGATTTGCTAAGGTATCTTGATGTGAATAGCAAAAGCATGTCCATCACTTTTCTTGACAGGGTAGAGTTTTCTTTGCAAACTGGCATCCAGAAGTTTTTAAGAGGTTTTGACTTAAATTCTGCTTGAAGAGTTTCATCATTAGATAGTTCTATGAGCTGCTCTTGAGTTGCCATTGGTAGATGAGAAGTTATGCTGCCATTAATTGGAACTTGAATCCTATTTTATTCTCCCATTGATTCTTGGATTGATCTACAGATTGACACTAAAGTTTTTTTGAGATGAAAATAAAAAAAACGGCATCAATAAGACTGAGATTTAACTCATTTTCTTCTAAGGATTCACTGAAACAAGAAAACATTTCACAGTTTTCGTTTTCAAACTGGTTTTTTCACAGCCCAAGAGTTTAGCAAAATGATGACACTTTGTCACTCAGCTGCAAAATATTGGTATTCTGACCTTGCAGTGACAAAACTGTTGAGTTTATCAAAAATATTAGCCAGGTAGCATGGTACTAGAAGCCACTTTTCATCCATAAAATGTGCTGTTAGTGTGGGGTTCCTGGCTGACAAAAAAGGGATGAAATTTGTCTTTCAGTTGCTCAACTCAATTGAGTACCTTCCCACAAGGCAACCAGTGAACCTCTTTGTACAGCAAGAGCTTGTCATAAGTGAATCCTATTTCTCCACAAAGAATGGAAAACAGCCTGCTGTTCAAAGTTTTTTGTAGTATTTTGTTTGCTTTGGGGAGCAATTTCTTTGAAGCTAGTACTTCCCTGTGTAAGATGCAATGTATAAATGTTACACTTAGAGCAAGAGCACTCACTTTGATTCAGAATTCTTTCTTGTTTCCCATAAATGCACCTCCTTCATCAGTGCATACCCCAACACAATCCAAGAAAGATTGCTTATGGTGGAAACCTCATCAACAAAAGAGAGAAGATGACTTTCATTGTAGCTCTCCTTTTCAGTGCTTGGCAAACAGAAACTCTTCACACATTTCTTATTCATACCAGTATCAACTGCATTTTTATGTTAGCAGAAATTACATCTATGTACGTTTCGCACAACATTGTTATGTGATAATTTAATGATTTCTTCTGAGGTGATAACTCACCTCCATACACAGTTTAGCTATCTTCCTCATGCTTCTGCCTAAGAGACTTGCATGCCACTAGCCTTGAGGCAACTCCCACCTAATTTCATCTGTTTTAAAGTCAACTTTGTTGGTGTATGATGATGTCCTTGTCGGACAAAATCCCTCCACCAATATGGGGGTTATGATCTTCATGCACAGTAACGTCCCCTATGAACTAGCAGTTGTGATAACTTCATTCTTCTCCTCAGCATAGTATTGAATTAATGGGTTTAAATTTCTCATCTCTTTTAATTTGTTGAGATTTGTATTGTTAATGAAACTTTGATTTTTTGTTTTCTTTGGCTTTTGTTTTGAAAGCTTTAAGAAATTGAATGTGAATTCTCAAATGATGGTGACTTATACTTAGTCCTGTATGAATGATGCTATTCACACATAGGCCTTATTTGTACTATGCTTCAGGAGGCTCGTTAACTGTCAGGAACATTGTTGCCATTGTTCAATATGTTGGGGATTACCATATGCTTACTGGGCCTCCCACTCCCTTCCTACTCAATATTTGGTACTTCAAGCTATGGTGTAATCTGGTCACCAGATTTTGCACTTTTCATTCTCTTCCTGCATGTCAGGTTCTTTCACTTTTGGGGACTATGGCTTCCATGGTACCCTTCTTTCCTTTTCATGTGCCTTTTCCAGTGGTCCTTGTAGGGCCATGTCATGGTGACTGGACCATGCCCATACTGCTTCTGGTGTTTCCTTATCACTTCCCAAGCCACATCTTGAGGCTTAGATGTAGAATCTGCATTTTCTCCACATTAACATGCTGAACCTTCTCATTGATCATCAGGCATATTCCTTTTCCTGCCCTTCCTGATGGATCACTTAGTCATGTTCGACATAGACAATTTCAGGGTTGTTTCTTGCATCAATCGTCTGAAAGGCACCTACCTGTTCCAGGACTCTTTACTTTAGGACATTGGACATACACTTCTGGGCCTGTTTGAACATGGTTTGACTTACTGCATGTTACTTGCTGGGGGCTATGGACTTGGCCATGGACTGCTTCTCTCAGTCAGTCTGCATTCTACTAACAGAGTGTTCTCTACACACACACACCCCTACCCCAGGTATTTTGTGGGGTTGGGCAAACCCCTCAAGGATACCTTTGACACCCTTCTCCACTCTGGGCTTCCTCTCTTCTGGCCCACTATTCCTCATCCTTTGGTTCTGACTGTTGATTTTCTCACCAAACCTGGTTTTACCTCTTTCTTTCTTCATTTCCTCACTGGGTCCTTTCCTTGCTACATACCACTCCTTGTCAGACCTTATGGTAAGTGCCTCTTGTTTCAGCCCAGCCTCAGTTTTCTTCACTTATCAATCACCCCCCCCCCTTTCCTCTGCTCGATTTCCTCTCAATTTTTTTTTGATTTACCCTCTCACACATCTCCTTTTTTCTTTGGTTATCTTCCTTCTACCTTCACGTGTAGGTTTATTCAATCTATTACCCATCAGACTGTACTCTCTAATCATGTGTCACTCTTCTTGTTATATTCCTGCCCCTACGTTTTTTTTTTTTTGTCTTTCATTGTTGGACTGTCCATCACTCCTTTACTCTTGGTTGTTCTACTGTGAAACACATTACTATATTTTTATCTGGGTGTTTATCCATAGTTTTTTTACTCTGTGCCTTTGCTAGGTGTTGGGCAGCCTTGTTCATAGCATTTTGCCTTTCTCAGTACCACAGTGTTTCCTTCCTTGTACTCTCCACTTTGTATGCTCCTTTGTTCTTCTGTGCCTGACTCCCAAAACTGACTGAGATTTTAGTGGGGATTTGCATGCTCTCAATCATTCCCTGGTCAAATTGTTGGCTTCTTGCTTTTGTACCCTCTTTCTCTCCAGTCTTATTTCCTCCTCCTTGCATGCAGTTACTGTTGTTTTGTTGTCTGTGCTATGGATGCTTCTTGCACCCTCTTCCATTGTGCTTATTTGCTTTTCTCCCCAGATTGATCTTTTTTTTTTCATACTTCATCCACTCAGGGAGGTAACAGTACTTTCTCTTCTATCTACCTTTTCAAGCACTCACCTCTTTGATCAATTGAACCTGGATTTGACCTTGTGTCCTGTTTAGGCTACTCACCATTCCTTATCATGGACCTCACCCTTTTGGAGACCCTGAAATAGTTTCTTCATGCTCTGGGACCCATCTTCTTCCAGGGACTTCTCTCCTTCTATCCTTAAAGGTTGGGGTCTGTGGATGCTTGGAGGTTATTTCACATTTTTTCACTATCAGTTCATTATCTTTCTTTGTTTTTTACATTTCATCTTTGCCAACTCTGGGATGAGATTCTCCAGGTGGGCATATGGATGACCCTTCACGCATTGTGCCTTCCTTATCTACACCCTCTGGCTGTTTTATCTCCTGATGGATTTTGGCTCCACTGATCACCATTCTTCAGTCACCCCACTGTCTTTGAGAAGAATACATACAATTTCTTTTTCAGGGTCTCTTTTACTTTCAAGGGATCTCACCAGCTGGCTAGTGTTGCTTTCCAGGATATATTTACCCAAAATCTACACCAAGCCAAGATAACAGAAAGCACTCAGACTATCCACCCTGGTTCAACCAGTATCCATTGTGAAATGGTGTGTACCTCAAGACTGCTTGAACTATCCTTGTGGTATATATATCTTTACTCAATTGGCTAATGCAGATCATACCTATCCCACGGGCTGTCATGAGAAAAGTCAGCACCTGGGAGGTGTTCTGCCCACTTCTTTGGCTCGCACTTGCTGACTTCTAAAAATGGGGTTTTGCATCCACCCATTTCTGTCTCCAGTAAACCTTTTTGGATGGAGGTAAAATGGGGATCTTGACATTTCTCTGGGCCTCCCCAACACAAATCCCCCCCCCCCCAGTTGAGTGGAGCTCAGGTTATCCTTGCCAATTACTCATACCACAAGTGCCCTCTGCTTGCAGCCTGAGCCTGTTCTGTTCAGTAGTAGTGAGTGCAGATAATATGATACATACCTGATGTTCCCTCCTGCAGCTGGAGGCTGGAGACTAGAGTCAAGGTGAACTCACTAGGTGGGGCCTTAACATGGCCCAACTACGCTACACATATTGGCTTGCCGACCACTTGTGTACAAATGCTCAGACAGTCATTTTCTCATTTTGCCTGTGACTGTGGGGCTTACGTGCCTCCCCCTTTACATTCTGGGCAAAGAGTGTACCTGGTTGTGAAAAAATGTTATCCCAGGAGTTTGCCCTTGTCATTGGGTGTCACACTATTGGCTTCCCTTTGGGCACTTTTTGAAAGGGTCTCAGGTAAAATTTGCACCAGCCCCTCCACCAATTCACAAATCAGTGTGGGATTCTGACTAAACTGTGTGATGAGATAAGTTATTGTTTTGGAAGTTAATATTGTCCTTAACTGAAAATGTAATTCCAATATATATTCACCTCCTAACACATTCTTACCCGTCCTCCTACTTCCAGTGCACATTTTTAACTTGCATTATCAATGAATTAAGTTATTTTGAGTACAAGTGTTTAGGGGGGGGGGGTGAGTTACTGAACATGATGGTTGTTTCTTCCTCCTATTGATGGATGGCTTTTGTTCTATGAGGATGACATTGTGCACCAGTACAGTTCTCATTAAAACGTGAAATTAGATTGGAGTTGCCTCAAGGCTAGTGACATGCTGATCTTTTAGGCAGATGCACAAGGAAGATAGCTAAACTGTATGTGGAGGTAGGTGTCTATCAGAAATAATTTTCAGGTAAGGAAAATGTTAACTTCTGTTTGCTTACTTCTGAGCTGTCACTTGAAGAAACATGAGATTCGTTTTTGCTGATATATAAAATGTAACAGTATACTATTAAAGATGGTGTTATAATATACTGATATCAATATAATTTTTGTTCATTCAGATCTACCTATTTTGTGAGTGTACTGCAGTTGTGTTAAAATGTAATTTTTTTCAAAGAAATCAGTTAATTCCATGTTACAGTATGTTATTTCTGTCTTTCTAGGTATGAATGTGATTGTACAGACACAGGTTTTGAGGGGTCTAACTGTGAGATGAATATTAATGATTGTTTGTCATCTCCCTGTCAACATGGAGGTCAGTGTGAAGATCTTGTGAAGGATACTTTGTGTCACTGTTATCCAGGATTTGAGGGGAAGAATTGTGAGAAGGACATTCCAGAATGCTTGGCTTCACCTTGTAATAACAATGGACAGTGTTATGAGAAGTCTAATATGTCTTTATATGAAAATAACTTCATGAACCTGTTTCCTTTCTTCTCTTATGAAACAGCAGGTGGCTACCTGTGTGTGTGTAATCCAGGATTCACAGGAACAAACTGTGAAGTGAACATTGATGACTGTGCCTCTCATTCTTGTGTTAATGGCACTTGTTTAGATGGTGTTAACATGTATACATGCCAGTGTTTCCCTGGATTTTCAGGGGAATATTGTGAAATTGATAACAACGAATGTGACAGTAGCCCCTGCAGCGTAGGATCGACCTGTGTAGATAAAATTAACGATTACGAATGTTATTGTTTAGAAGGGTTTGGAGGTAAAAACTGTGACATTGCACTTATAGGATGTAATGAAAACCAGTGTTCCAATGGAGCAACTTGCCTTCCTAAACTGGTCAATGGGTTGCATGAGTATGATTGTTTGTGTCCTACTGGTTTTCATGGTGAACTCTGTAATGTTATTACAACAGCATCTTTCAGGGGTACACAAAGATGGGAACTGCCAAGAAATAAACATGGTGATGTCTTTCACCTAGAACTCCAGTTCCGTACTACGTTGCCTGATGGAGTTATTGTGTGCATCAACAATGGCAGTTTGACAATTTCCTTAGTTGGTGGAAGAATACAACTAATTAAAAATGCAAGCCAAAATTTAGTTTCATTTGTAGAAGGTAGTTTTAATAGTGGAAACCAATGGGAACAATTGTTGCTTGTTATTACTAGAGAAAATATTTCACTCACTGTATCAGGAAAAGTTCTTTTTCAGACTTTGACAGAAGCCATGGAGACTATAACAAATATTTCTTTAGGTGGTCCTCCTGATCCTGCTGGTCAACCAAACTTTACTGGTTGTGTGCAGGATGTTAAGATGGACAATGAGTTAAAGTTACCAGATGAAACAATAATAGAAGTTGGATGTCCAAGGAAAGAACAATGTGAATCAAACCCTTGTTTCAATGGAGGAATCTGTAAAGATAGATGGTTTAGCCACAGCTGTGAGTGTGTCCGACCTTTCTTTGGATTTAATTGCGAGAAAAGTAAGTTTAAATGTATATATTTTATTGGTATATTTTACATACTTTGTATTTATCTTGATCATTGGTGGTAACTGCCATTTTAAATTTAATAGTGTTCAAACAGTTGGATGAATGGAGTCTATTTTTTATTATATATAGCCCCAAAATTTGCAGTGTTTTTTAGATTACATTTCTTTTAATAAGACTTACACTAATATGATTATTAAAACTAAAGTTAATGTTAGCCAAATCATGAGCTTGAAATTTTATTGTTTAATTTCTGTTATTGCATATTTTTGAACTGTTTCTTAACATGTTCTTAAATGGTTGTTTGTGATGCACTAAGAACAATTGTTGTGAAGTATTAGTTTACACTGTAAGCTACAAGAAAAAAAACTGCATTAATCAATATTGTTTAGCTCACTCACAGTCTTGTGTTGATAAAGATCAAGACTCAGCATTTTTTAGCCAAGAACAATTAAATGATTATGTTAAAAAAATTGTTGGAAATGTCAAATAGAATATAAACAAATTCTTAACCAAACATTGTATAATATTCATTCAAAACAACTATTAACTAAAAACCCATATATTTCAACCTCTATTAAACTAGGATTTAACTTACATTTTACTTCACAAACAGGAAACATTTGCAAGACCATTTGTTGTTGTTTTTAAAGTATATTTTAAAAGAAATTGAATTTGAACACACTAGTAATGCCTTTAATATTAATAATATTTCTTCTAAGACTTTCATTTAGTTAGATAGTGTGACTTAAGTAGTTACAATTTGTTTAGCCACACTGGAAAAAATACTTAATGACTACAAAGAATGTTAAATATAACCATGAAACTGCTTTACTGTATACAGGACAATAAGTGATCTACATATAATCCTTTTGCAAAATTGTCATAATTAAACTGAGAGTGAGCTATGATTGAAAACATATTTCTGATGAGATACATAACCTTCCCTCACATGTAGCTTTACTGTTTCAGTGCTTCCCTTTATATGCAAACTTTTTTTGCTCACCACAGCCTTAAGGCATGAATCACATTTTCTTTAGGAGGTAGCTTAACCCGTATCTAAAGATTGCAAAGTCCAGTAACGCTTGTGTAAAATGATCAATATTATATTGTTGTCCACCATTTGCCACTTTGAACTTTACCATAAATGAATATGTAGATCAGAAGTTTATTATGAATAGTTTTAATAAATGTGATTATAACATAGATTATTTCTTCTGATTAATGGGATAACTGCCATAGTAGTTCATGTGTTTTTTAATGATTGAACTGTGTATTATTATTATCTGTAAGTTGTCATAGAATACTGCACACCTTTGATATATACTAGTGCCAATCATTGAACAGACAAATGCACCTTAGATTTTGAATTGTCCACTGGAAGAAGATTGTGCCAAATCAAGCTATGTGACATTGTTTTGATTACACATTTAACCAGACTATAACATCTCCTTTTACTAATGAGATCCTGATTTTTTTTACATCTGATAAGTACTATTTTGAACATTATTCTTTATATCCATTGTATGATATGTAGAGTGGGCCTTGTCACATGTTCAAGAAACGTCAGCATAATTCTATTGAGGAAGTGTGTCCATGTTTATTGTATTAGAAATTCAGTACATTTTATTTTTATTTGGCATAAATTTTGTCATAGTTATAAAATAGTCTTTAAAAGATAAAAAAAAAAAAATAGAGTGTGGGTTTACTCTTGTGACTGATAACTGGGCTTTATTACTTCTGTGCCCAATAATAATGTGTTGCTTGATAAAGAAAGAGTACCTAAGTTTGTGCACTAATTTTCTTTTGTTATTACAGACATCACATCGACAACCTTTGGTTATAAGGGTAAAATCAGCTGGGCTTTTCTAGAGTTTTCTGAGCAAGAGCAACGTGAAATGAGGACATCTTCAACAGTTAGTCTTTTTATCCGAACTAGAAAACCTGAAGGTCTCATTTTCTACTTGGGCTCTAAACCTAACTATTCTCTTCAGTATAGTACTGAAACATTACATAGTGAGACCTACCTAGCAGCCATTTTAGATAAAGGACAGTTGAGAGTGTTGGGAGCATTTCCTCAGGAAGTTCAGTTAGAAGTTCCCATTTCTTTAGATGATGGATACTATCATTTTATTGAGGTCTGTAGTTTTTGAATTATATATATATATATATATATATATATGTGTGTGTGTGTGTAAGTGTATGTAGTGTAAGATGTAAATATTTCTTGTTTTATTGCTTTATACATAAGATTAATGATAAGGCCCATATTGGCTTTTTCTAAACTATTTACACACCAGTTTGATTTTGGTTCAATGGTACTGTCAGCTACAGGGCCTCAAGTGACATATATAGAAAAAAGAACTTTCAAAAAATCATTAATATTGCAATTAATCACACTAATTTACTATTGGGTTTTCAGTTTCACATTTGTTTTATGCAGAAAATGAGTGATTTCATATAGTTATTTTTGTCAGTTTTTTATTTTGAGTGTTGTGAGAGGAAAGAACAAAAACATATAATTATTCAATGTGAACAGTAAAGAATTAAGTCTGTAATTTCTGGGTTAAATGGATCATATTCAATGAATGATTAATGAAATAGGTTAAGATATAGCATAAAAGATAGAAGGGATTTTAACTTGCATATTTTATCAACAAATTTGACAAAGCAAGTAGTTTTAGCTCTTAATACTTTATGGGAACTTTCATTTATATATTTGTATTTTAATTCTTGATGGTCTGCAGTAATCAAAGAAAATATTTTTTGCAATGAATTTTGAAATAATTATTTTCTCTTCTGTAATAACTTAATTTTAGAACAGTACAATATTTTGACCTTTTAATTTTACTTCACAATTCTTCCTAGTTGTCTGTAGTTTGTGACAAATCACAATATTTCTGATAATACTTTTCTACAAATCTTTTTTTACTGGCCCCGTACTTTGGATTTTCGATAAAATAAATGAAACATATTAGCATTCTGATTACATACCTTGTGCACTGACATCCTCTGCAGACAAAGTCTTAGTCAAAATGCTATTTATATCAATCATTTACAATATGTGGTATGCAATGGCTTACGCTGGGGAAGCACGTTCAGTTGATTGGTGGTTTGTGTGACATTACATCACTATAAGAATAATAATCAATTTTTTATTCTTTTCTTACTGGCCCTGTAATTTGAGGTTCTAGTAAGATGAAATAGTAAAGAGAGATTTGTAGAAAATTATTAGTCTTATTGTGATGTCACACAATGAGAATGATGTTTTAACTGTGAATTTAGAGAATCATTTTGTAATTAAACACAGTCATTGCTGAGAAGTTTTGTTTTTGTGGAGTGCTAGAAAAAAAGTAAAAATTGTTTTGTTATTGTTTACTATTCATACATTTATTTTGCATAGGTTATATGGGATGGTATCAGATTAACCACAAAAATTAACTCCAGTGTGAACATCAGTGATACCCTACTTCAAACAACTGTTAATTACGGATTGGATGCTGAAATAATATATTTAGGAAGTTTACCAAATTCTACTGTACGAGAAAAACGACAAATTTCTGATCATTTGCATGGTAAAAAAATTACAAGCGAAACTTTCTCCGAAGTAACAAATTTTAAAGGAATCATCCAGGATGCAAGAGTAAGTATGAAAAAAGGAAATGATAATGATATGAAAACATGAATGAAAAAAAGGAGGAGAGACTTAAATATCTGATTATTTCTAGCTTGTAATTTTCAGAGTTGACAGTAATTATTACTGTTGAAGTAAGGAAAAAAGGATCACCACTGTAAAACAAAACAACAGGTTTAATTTTTGGGTGTTTCAGAAATGTTGCAAAAAAAGTAAAAATGTATCATTGATATACATTTTCTAAAGGGTTGGCTTCAATTTCACAGGACACCTGTCTTCTCACAACTGCTGATAATGACAAAAAACCAGATTTGCAAGGGTTGGTCTTAATGGTGAATCCATTGATTTTGCCCTCTGTTTAGTCATAGTATTTGTGTAGTTGTTCAAGCTGTTGCCAGTTGAAACCACAGGGTAGGTTATCGTTTCTTGGAAATAGTTACTTAAGTGAAATTTGAATAGTTTCTTTGAGCGGAATGTTTGTGAAAAGACATTCAATCTCAGAACTGACCATAAGATAATGAACAGCATTGTACTGTTTTGCAATAAAGAAGACAATATTAATTTACAGAACTACCTTAATTCTCAGCACCCATTTATAAAATGTACCTTTGAAATTGAAGAAAAAATAAACTGTCATTTGTAGATATTCAAGTTAACCATTTGAATAACCAACTTACAACATCTGTTTATGGAAAGAAAACTTTTACTGGTCTATAAATCTACTTTAGCAGCTATGTTCCAGATTTGTTCTAAAGTAGTCTTGTAATTAACCTCCTTAACAGAGCTTACAATATTTGTTCCAACTCCACTTTGATTCATGCTGGAATTTGATTTTTACAAAACACTGAAAAGTAATGGTTACATGCTAGATTTTCTTGTAAGAATAACACGTAATTTTGTTACAAACAAAATAGCACAGACACATAAATCACACACTGCTTCAAAGTTTCCATTACTTCTTGTTGTTACTTTCTTACAGAAACGGAGTTGTTAAAAAACAAATCAGAAAGTTATTTATAAATTTTATTCACAAGTAAAGTTACAGTTGCTTTTCGGGTCTTTTCTTCTTCCTCTTCCAAATTTGCAACTTCTTTAAAACTAATGACATTCTACCTGCTCATCTATGTTTGTGGGCCATCCGCATATAGACTTGTGATTGTAAAGCCACCTTCATTGGCAAATCAAAATGCTAGTTGAAAATATGTGTCTATGAACATAGAGGAGTTTTAAGCAGAACTGGTAAATCACTTAAAAGTTCATGTTCTTCCCCCATTTACACACATTGTGAGAGTAGTAAATGCTAATTACCAGAATGTAAGTTCAAACTTCTAACACAAGGATCTTTAAAGAAAGTGTATGTATCTCAAATGAAGATTCAAATCTAAGTTTGTTTGTTTGTAATTATGCACAAAGCTACACAATGGGCTATCTGTGCTCTGCCCACCATGGGTATCAAAACCCGGTTTCTAGCGTTGTAAGTCCGCAGACATACCGCTGTGCCACTGGAGGGCTCAAATCTAAGTAATAACCTCAGTTCTTTTCTGCTCTCCTTGTTTTGATATATTCATTTAATAAATTGTATTCTTAACTTATGTAAATTTCCCTTATTTCTTCCCTTTTTCATATTTTGTATACATTTTATTCTTCATTTTAAAACTTTACTGTTTGTTTTATGCGCGCGCACACACACTGGTGAACCCTTGGGCCTATGGCCCACATTGACAGTGTTGCGATAATGCAAATTTAATTTACTTAACTAATTCACAAATGGTAATTACTAGGCTTACTTATTTATGTACTTTAATGTAAATCACTGCCATATTTGGGGTGTGCTTTTGGGGAAATCCCCGTAAAAGTGTTTTGACAAAATACCCTAAAAGGTGGGTGAAAAGTTTTACCTTTGTACAAACCTTGTAGCCGAGATGTTCCGTTTGACACGACTTAGAAGTTGGTGAGTACAGCAGTTTTCAGGAATTTCCCAAGTTCCCAAAGGGGTATGGTGAAAAATTTTACCTTTGGACAAACTTCGGGACCAAGATGATTTCTTTGGTACCATTTAGAAGTTGGTGCGACCAGCAGTTTAGGAGGAGTTACAGATAGAGACTGAATCTTATTAAATAGATATATAAGTGTGTGTTTTATGAAGACATTTTAGATCATTGATGATGGAATTTATAAATTTTCAAATGTTCCAAGATTATATATGTTGTTTTGTTTTCCATTTGATAAATCATTATTATCATTTTAAATAGCATTTTTAAATGATTTTTTACTCCTGGAAGTAAACATTCAGAAGATAAAGAACTATAGGTTAATATGAACTGCCTTAACTATGTTTGTAAATTAAGTTCAGTTTTTCTAAGTAATGTTTTAAATGTGAAGAACCTCTTTAACATTTTTTTTTCTCCCAGGTGGTTTAATATAATTTTCTTTTCAACAGATTTAACTGATAATTAGAATGTTACATAGGAATTAGGCTTAAAATAACTCGTATTAAAGTTTTTGTTATAGTAGCTTAGATTAAAAATTATAATTGACAAGTTGTGAAAACTGGTTTTTTGCTTACTTTGAATAGTGCCATCTACTTTACTGAGTGTCAGAAATTAAAAATTTAAACTTATTTTGTCAGTTGTCAGAATAATAGGCTTTTACTTGTACTTTTTAATAGTATATAAATATATACTATGTTGTTGTTGGGTTTAGATTCTTCTAAAGTAGGTGTCTGTAACTTGTTAGCGATAAATTCAATGATAAATGAACAGCACGCACTTCACTTGTTTTCAAAATAATATATATATACACCTGGAAAAAAGTTAAGCACCCCCAAATATTTT